CTAACTTTGTCCATTATTACTTAAAAAGGTAAAGTCCACTTTGACAAGTCTTCTTTTCCTTACTTTCTTCTTCTTCTTTTTTATTTTATTTTTGTTATTGTTATCATTCAATTACCTTTTTTTTTTTCTTTTTTTTTTTGAGGGGGGGGGAAATGCATAAATTCTTACCTGGTGTATACTCAGGCCGAAATCCAGGAGGTGGGGGACTGGAAAATTGATTATGACCACCAGTTGAATTATTCCTAAAATATTTCTTGTTAAGGAGAACTTTATGAAAATAGATAGTACTAAAAATGTCCTAAAGAATATTCTATTTAGTTCTTAAGCAGGAAACTGTACAATACCATCACTTCATCATATTAAATAAAAGACTGAGAGAGGAAACTTGTGTGATTATTAGATAGTGAAAACTTTGGGTAATTGAAGGACCACTGGAATGTGAAAATGTTGGGTGTTATAGTACAGATCTCAGCATGTGGCCAATTACACATAACACATTACAAGTAATAAATGTAGGATACTGCTGTGATTGGTTGTATGTAAAACGCTGGTAGATGTAATATACAATCCAGGCAATGACTCCCCAGGTGATAATTGTACTTAGCCAACCTCCAGAATGCCTAGAAAGAAAATTCATCCTCATCATCATCATCATCTTTATTTGCCTTATTTACAAAATACAAAAAATTTATTTACAGCGGTTATAGCTAGAAGGCGAGGAGACCCAGGAAGCCACCAGGCTTATGGGAGAGCCACCTCACTTACATTAATAAATAAAGTAAAGAAAAAGTGCTGTGAATGTGCGGCTTAAGGCCAATTCAGTGATTATTTAAGTACAAACTCTGCATTTTCGTCTTAAAACTAAGAAGGTTTGATGAATGAGTGATTGAAACAGGAAGAGAGTTCCAAATTTTAGGACCTTGATAGAGAATTGTAAATTGCTTGAGATTTGTACGGCACAAATGCGTTCGATAATTACTGGCTGTTCTGGTACCATAATTGTGAAAGTGAATTTGGCTTTTTGTTGCAAAAAGATTGAGAAGCAATGGAGGCAATAAGTTATTTCTACAATAAAACATGAATTTGGCGATTTCAAATGTATTGACTTGGAAAATATCTAAAACTCCTAGTTTGGAGAACAGCTCACTTTTGCAAGAAATAAATTCTATTTAAAGTTAGATACATATGTGGACGACCAGGCGCAGTTACAATAGACGATATAAGGATCAGTCACAATAGACGATATAGGGATAAATTAAGGTGTAGTAGAAAGTGAGTTTGGTGGTAGAGGATAGGAAAAAGTGAGACCTGAATATAATACCTATTGATTTAGCAATTTGTTTACATAGTAGCTGATATGGTGCTTCCAGGTGAGATGATCATCAATATAGACCCTTAGGAATTTAGTTGTGTTAGATTGTTGTAAGGGTTTACCTCCAAAGGAGAGAGAAAAGCTGGAGTTAAATTTCTTCTGTCTGGGTTTAAAAATTACATACTAGTTTTCTTTATATTAACTGAGAGCCTAGCCAAACATCAATATTTTGGAGCTCATCATGATTAAGTATGGATTCTAGACAATTTGGGTTTGAGTGACAATAAAAGATACTGGTGTCATCAGCGAAAAGCAGAGGGTCTGTTAATTTAGACACATTAGGGAGGTCATTCATGTATAGAATGAACAGTAGAGGGGCTAAAATTGAACCTTGAGGGACACCACACTTGATGGTTTGCATTGGAGAGCAAGCTTGATTGAATTGGACAAATTGTGAGCAGCAAGAAAAGTAGCTTTTGAACCACTGCAGAGCCATGTCACTGATACTAGAGTGCTCCTATTTGGCAAAGAAGATTTGATGGTCAAGAGTGTCAAATGCTTTGGAAAGATCTAGGAAAACATCCACCGTTGTTTTGTGTTGGTCGATTGCAGAAGCTATTTTTTCCAACTTGTGATTTCTATTGATTTGTCCATAGTTTTCAAGTGGCTTTTTTTTCATTTTTTTTAAACAGATAACTGCATGAAAGCAAAACAATGCTACTTAAATTTGTTTACAGCTTACCACATGATAGAAGAACAACTAGTGTTGCATATGTTGTTTACAGACAACACACCAGTACTTGAGTACTTAAAATAATCAACACAAACACAACGGTTCTGTATTTAATTAAAAGTACAATACCAAAAAGAAAGAAATGAATAGCACTTTAGTGTCTTGTAAAATAATACAAACTGTCAAAAAGCCTGGATGAGTTTTTTTTCTTTGCTGGACCAAAACTAAAAAGTCTATATACATGTACTTATTTCATACTATCAAACAGGCCCTAACCTTATGGTCAGCATTTTAATGACTCCACTAGATTTTAACAATGTACCTGGAGCGGTAACTGTGACTGTTGTAGTTGTGGTAAGTATTGTCCTTGTGTCCAGAATGATAATTATTGTGATAATAACTTCCACTACTGACCATGTCAATTGTGTATTCCAACTGTAAAATAAATTAATACCTTTAGTAATAGTTTCATATGAATACAAGCAAAAGTAAGAGGAAATAGGAAATATAAACCAAAAATCATTTAAGCTACAACATTGGCTAAATGTTTGAAGTGAATTCTGTAACGTAACGGTTTTGCAGTGCAGTTTTGCATAATGCCATCCTGGTCTGCCTTTTTTTTTTTAAACCCTCATATAACAGAGTTTTAGCCTGGTTGTCAAAAGAGAAAGATGTCATAAATTTGTCATGAAAATGGTATAAATAAAATATAAGCAACTAATATGTTTTTTAGACTCAAGCAATCAAGCTAGGAAATTTAGCCCCTTTCCTACTCTTGTTCTACACAGGAAGCTTCTGCCATAGCTGATCCTAACACTAAGACAGACAATTTTCGCATAGGAACCTTGCAAAATCTCCCTTACTAAGTAAGCAAGGAATCAAACTTTCAAATTGGAAAATCTGAGTTTTGAACCTTCACAATGAAATAAATTAATTCCTAAGTCCTATGTCTGTGATCAATGTTCAACATCTTTACTACTTGAGGAATGAGTTCACAAAAATTGACATCCTTCTCACTCTGTCTCCATTTATATTGGATCTTCACTTGGTATTGAGAGTTTTATATAAAATAACTTAGCACTGATAATATTTTTTTAAACTTGCACCAAACTTACAGGTGTATAATGATAAGAAAACAATTATATGGCAAGATAGTCCAAAGAAGCCAATAGGCTTGTGTAACTGATACCCTCACATGCACAACATAGTTTGGTTAATCATCTGAGTTCATAAAATATTAATTGGTCACTGTAAAGAGTTTTAAATGTCTCTTAAAGTGTTAGCCCTTTGTCAAAACAATACAGCACTAGGGTACTTACCCCACAGGAACCTTTTAGAATGTATGGGTCATCAGGATAATCATAACCTTCACAGCTGACTGTAATTTCACCAAACTTATACTGACTGTCCATGTCTGTCTTGCATTCCCACTGCAAAAATGTATCACAGTTTACAAAACTTATATGATATAAGGAAAATTTTTCTTTAAGATAATCTTTATGACTGCAAATTAAATTCCTATCGCAATTTACCTGAACATCATAGCCATCAGACCCTCGGTTGTAACACTGAACAACACTTGGAGTAAAAGCTGAACAACCTGCTGAGCCACCAACACACTTTAACTGGGGAACAGGGTGGGTACGACGGGAATTTGTCATTTTTCCAGGATGTAATGTAATGACACTGACATCTGTTAATCTTATCTTGTCTTTAATGCCCCAACCTAAGGCTGTAAAACACACAATGTCATTCAATACCCAAGTCAACTGATTTTCTTTAAGATTAGTGTGCAAATTCAGAGTACTGCTCCCTCTACGAAATAAATAGGAATCAGCATTCAGATTTTGGCTACAGAAGAACCCATAATAACCGCACTTGAATTAATAATTTTGGTGAAACCACCAATGTGGCGACAGAGAAATTTTCTGCTGAATTTGAATTCTGAAATCAAGAAGTAAATTTTTTTACTTTTTTTTCTTTACTAAGCCCGACAAAGACATTGTTCAAAATAATAATATACTGAGACTGGGCCAACAACTTGCAAGAAGGAACAAGGCGCCTTGTGGCAGGTGCAAATTACCATATCTAATTTTTTCTCACAATTATATTTTCTCGTCTACCATTGCAATTTAAAACGTGATCCGCAAGATCTGCAAGCTCATGAGCTACTCTTAAAGGCAACAAAGAAATCATTGTTCACGTTTCTTACCTCCACTAATTAAGACACTACCGACCAGCACAATAAATATCCATAATATTGTACAATTCTTAAAGGCTTCCATCCCTCTTATGGAAGTACGTTACAACGCCAAAAATGCTTCCAAATCAGTTTTCAGCAAAACACCTATTTACTTCGTTTTCGAACGTGAGACCATTGGTTGTTGAGACGGTAAATGACAAGACCGAAATATACGCCGGATATCTACATATACCGAAGGAGACGTATCAAAATAACATTGGTTAGAATTATTCTTATTTCCTGCGACAACGAACTTGCATCATCCTACCCTAGCTACTCGGAAGGGAAGTTTGAGATAGACTGGCACTAGCTGACCAGGACTCATTCCTCCCGCAGGCTCTTTAGAAGTAAACAGCTGTTTATGACTGGTGTGATGCCAGCTCATTTTTTCAGCGTTTCTCGGAAGAGATTATCTTGCTTCGCCAACATCGTCCCCATGTGTGGCTTGAACTTATTTGCCATTCTTACCAAACAATCATTGCGTTAATACAGCCACATCAGACAAGCACTGATATCGTTGTTTTTGTTTTAACGAGAAACCAATTCCATTTAGGTTAAATTTACAAGCCTTCCATTTACATGGCTTCCTTCTTCGTCTGAAGATTTCCCGCTGCCTAGAATCAGCAAAAGTTTACGAAAACTTGAAAACTGGGGTAAACAGAGCTCATTTATCATTTACTGAGCCAATTAAAATGGCGATGCTCACGAAACTTCAATAACAACCAGAACATCTGTGTGTTTAACAAAAATTTCTGGCTCTAATAATGAAAAGTAACAATTAATTATCTATGTAACTCTTGTTACTTTTTCGCTAATGCACACATTATTGAAACTAAGTCATTTCTGAAGGAATTATTAGCCGTCCTCTGGTAAGGTTGGTTTACAGCTTTAAGAGGAGGTGATACATCATGGCTCACTTTGCCAGCCGCTCGTGAAAATACAGAATTGTAGCTGTATATTTATTTCAAGTTTATTTCCAGCCCCGTTCCTAATGTTAGTTTTGGAAGGTGCCTACATGCACAGACAGAAAGCATTTATGTGAACATATGAGCACTATTTTTTTATTTTAAAACATTTGTGTTAAACATGCAGAGACGTAATTTCATATCACATAGAAATTATGCGCGAATATAAACGACACAACTTCTCTGATAGATGTAAAAAATAAATTTACCTTAAAGCTTTCTAAAATCGCCAACATGTCTAACAGCCTCGTGAGGGATTCGTTCGTTGATAATCAAATTAGGGGAATACGTCAAAATGACAGCTAGAAATTCTATCTATTTAAAACATATGGCTCAGGCCTGACTAGATCACTCGTATGACTTCCGTTGTTCCATTTAGCAGCAACTGACAGAGGATGAGCTTCAGCTTTGAGGCATTGCGGGGCCTCTTATCAAAAGGTTTGTTGCATAAAAAGGTTTTTTTTAATTATTGCTTATTCACACCAGAAACCAAAATATCTCTTGTTAACCTCACCAAGTTTTAACTGTTAATGCTTAGCTGTAAGCCTGAATGCTTTAGACACAATTTTTCACAACTTTTTCTCTGTGGGATTACCTAAGGTACGGAAATAATGACAATCTTTTGACAACGTAAATTCATCAATGGTTTGCAGGATACCCTTAAGTCGGGATACTAAATGAAAAATGAAAGGAACAAAAGCCAGTGGGAGGCCTACCTCCTCACAACATTTTTATCGAAATTAATCGGGAAATAGAAATTTACACTTCAGTATATATTTTCATAAATGTATAAATTGGCTTCTGTGGATTCATGTCCAGTTGTGGAAAAAAAATAAACACCGATGAAAAATATGATTTCATGAGCGAGCGATAAGCTGGCGAGTGATTCCCCTTTTAGCAAGTGAATTAGTTCCGTTTTAATGTGTTAACCAAAGACGGAGGGATAATGCCTCTAATGAGCCTGAATGTTAATAGAAATGACTCTTTTTATTTCTCTTTATGCTCCTTGTAAATGGAAAATTGTTATTCGTTAGTCACAAAACCCATAACATACAAACAGAATAACTGTAGATATAGAGATTTCACGTTGAAAAAATTGAGTTGAACTCTTAAAATCTCATCGTTACTTACCATTTTAATAAATCTTTCATTTTCACATACAGTTTTAAGGTTCAATATCGAGAGAGTTTCATTTCATTTTATTTTTCAATAAAGATAGGTAAAGGCATATTATCCTCTTAGTCATGTTTCTCAAAACAGGTGAAGATGAGTTGATGTTTACAAAATCAAAAACGAGAGCCATCGGTTTCAAAAGTACCATCAAACACAAGACTTGATAAATAGAATATTGCCTAAGTATTCAGTGAAACCTTACCAAAATTCAAATGATCAAATTCTAGTTTCTGGTGTTCTGCTTTACGATAAAATGTTCTCTTTTTTAATGAAAGATTGTATGAGCCGATCGAAATAACAAATCGTTTTGTTTTTAGTCTTTGTACACAGGCTCACCATTCATGCAAGCTGATCAAACTCATTTTAAGCTGATTAAACTCATTTTAAGCTGATTAAAACATGACGTTAATTTTCCTTTAATTTGACCGCCGAACCGCTCTTTTTTAGTTCGTGAGGTTAAAATACAGTTGATTAGCAGCAAAATGTGCTACTTCATATGCTAATACATCTCCTAGATAAATTGGCTTGCATTCTATAAACTTCTGGAGCGTTCTATCTCATTTAACTACACGTAAACCAGGAGCTGTTAACAATAGAACATATGCCATCTATGTAATAGTGTAGTTTGATCGTCCGGGTGAGTGTAGTCCTGAGAAGGATTGTTGTCGGTAGTGGTGACTGACGTTTTCGACAACCTGACTTCCGCTCAGGTTGTCGAAACAACCCCCGGGTTCAAACCATTTAAAAGCCATCAAATTAGCTATTCATAATTTCCCTCTTAATTTGAAGATAAACCCAAAGAGGCAAAACAGAAATATGAATTGACGAGGAATTCAGATGTTCAAAGGCATGAAAGTGGGTTAGAGAGCCCATCATTTCCAAGATGGCGTATGACGTTTATGTCGTCAGAAGAAGGATCATTGGAGTTAGATCACGAATTCTTTGGGAGCACCTTCTCAATGTCGGAAAGCCTGAATCTGGACGCAGCACGCCTGCCTGTCTCAAAAACTATAACCCACCGACCATCCAGTGTAGGAGACACCTATCGTAGGATCGTAAGTTTACGAATCTTCTTTACTTTAAAAAAGAATTCTCTTTCCTTAGCTTGTAGACACGATAATGCAGTAGTAATGCAGTTCCTATCTACACCTAAGAAGCCTAAAGAAATGTTGACATGACGGAAAAACATAAGATTAAATCACGAGCATCCACCGCTCTTTTTGTTTCCAAAAACCGAAGATTTGCAAGTTTTTTTTTTACATACTAAACTCCATGGAATACCCTTGAGGCCTCATTTGAGAAACTTTGATCTTATTTCAGCACCGAAATTTTACAGTCGGCAAGTCAATACACTTAGCAGCTCTCGCTGGAGATCTCAGAGAAGTCCAGCGATTGATCAACAATGGCGTTGGTAAGATTTCAGCTTGACTGTTGTACTATGTAGGTGGTGGTGAATAAGTGAAGCATTTGCTTATCCGATTTATTAACTCCTCAGATATCCATAAGCCAGATCATCTTGGTAACACTCCCCTGATGTGCGGGGTACTGGCTGGTAGCCTCGCTGTCGTAGAGCTGCTGATCCAGATGGGAGCTGAAGCTAAAAGAGAAGACAACATGGGGAACACAACACTGCACTCCGCCATACAAACTGGCAACGAAGACATAGTGAAGGTTTGCCTAAGGTCCTTTCGCAGCTATGAGAGTCACTTACATTTTATCTATTTAATTACCCAGTCAAGAGCTTCAAACGTTCTTTACCTGGGAACAAGATGGTGAAAAAAGATATTCATGCTTTGTTTGACAATTTTTATCCTTGTATCTGCTGTGCAACCAGCACAGAGCTTTTCAGTTTCATTAATGTACTAACAGTTGTTTTTTATTCCTCCTCAGTTGTTGCTTAATTCCGGTTCCCAAGCTGATGTAAATAAAATTGGCAGTGGTGGTCTTTCTCCGTTGCAGCTTGCAGCTCAGTCAGATCACGCAAAGTTGTGCAAACTACTTGTGAGTAAAAAGTTCAATGATGACATCTAACCGTTGACCTACATTAGGACTAGGCTGAGGTTACTGATGACCAGGAGAGCCAACCTATGGCGTGCATCGAACCTAAGACCAAACTAAAATTTATGTCAATAGCCAATAAGAACACAGGAAAATATTTCAAGACGAGAATTTAAAGAACCTTAGAAATTCAAAGGCCCAATGAACAACTTGCCTTATGCCAGTGCTCACCAATGTTCTCAACAGATCAAGTTATTATAGGTCATCTGGTTGATTGAAAAAGGTTCCTAAGAGCATGCAATGAAGATAATAATAATGTAATAATAAAGATATAACTCGTGTGTTTTATCTTTCCAGGCTGATTATGGAGCCCAGCTGGATTGTAACCATGGTAACGCTCTAACACTTGCTGTGTTGAAAGGCTCCAAGGATGCTGCTGCTTGCCTCTTTGATCTCAGTAAGAACATCAGTTGTTCATGCCACGTTCTTTCTCCTATTATTTTAAATGCGCTTTTGAAATGTAGACCAAACTCTTCAGTAATTATTCTGAATAGCGCCATTCTTACAGTCGGTGCCTAAACGTCACGAAAAGCACTCGTCATTCCTCTGTAGGTAAATTAATATAGCACTGCGAAGTTTGATCGTAGTCTGTGTGAATCTGTCAGCATATAATTAAGGTGCGGTCTCAGCAGGCTGTTTAATCAAATTAATGGCCACTGAAGCTAAAATCAGAATAACACGAGAGTTTTGTTTGTCTTATACAGTTGATGAACGTAACATGAAAATGGACTCGTTTATCTACGATGTGGATGACAGCGGAAACAGTCTTCTCCATCTTGCAGTAGAAAGCTCGGTTTTCCAGGTATGCATTATTTCCACAACTCTAGAAACGAATAAGATAGTTGTTAGGAACTAAGTTATTACTTAAGTAGTACATAAGTGATCAACAATGGACTACATGTAGCATCCTATCTGGGAGGTGTAAAAATTCTTGTGAACTGACGAGTAAACTGATTATTAGTCTGTAGATTTGTGTCTTTCATACGGAGCTAAAATGGTCGTGACAAGGGTAAGTGATTTCTCAATAAGACGTTCATTTGCATTCCATAAGTGATTTCACGTTAAATTTAAG